GCAAGCAACAAACCGGTTGAACATGTGGCGTTGATTGCTGTTGCAGGATGCTCTGACAACGATGATCTGGCTGCGAAGATACGGGAGTTGAGCAAGACGGCTGGAAGATGGATACCGGCCTTTCTGCCTTCCGAGGAGCGTCCGCCGATGGAAACTACAAAAATTATATTTAATCCTAAAAAAAATGCTATAGTATAATGCAGCCCTGCAGCAATTTAGAATCAACGTCCTGAGCATGCACTTTCTAAGGACAGTGAGCATTTGGTGCGCGAAGATAGTAGCGCATGACGCAAATCCGGCGGAACTTTTTGAACATGAAATTCCCAATACGCGAAAAGTCATTACACAATAATTGTTAAATTAAATAAAACAGTTTTTACAAAGTTGCTTTTTTCGGACAACTAATGCTAGCTAGCGTAAAATATCTGTAAATGAGTGAGGCAGGATCATCACCGCTGTTGAGTTCTAATATGTCTAAAAGTTCTGATCAGTGGATAATATATGATGAGGTTAGCATCCTTTTGGCATTACGCAATTCGCTCGTACTTTCATTGCATAACAGACGACTCTTCCTGTCAAGTGTGCATATTACAAATGCTAATTAAATCCAAGGGCGGAGAAAGGTCACACGTGAGATCAGAAAAACTGAAAGAAGGATACTTCTTGAAAATATGGGTAATCAGAAAGGAGAAATAAATGGCCAGCGCATGGACTGCCGGTGCGAAGGTGCGTTTTTTGCATAGTTCCCCGCAGATTTTTTTTGTCGCTAGCGGCACTGTTTTTTCCGATAGATGCTTCTAGCTAAAAGAACTAAGGCTGGCCGCCGGGACTGTCTGGAAGCAACCCTTTAAAATTTCAGTTTTCTAGCCTTCCTGGTCCCCGAATTAGTAACATACCCGCAAAAAAATTCGTGGGCCCGTACGCGGGAATCACGCATACTCCACGAGTTAGGTTTGAACTCATAAGGTCTCTACGTGGGTGGGGAACTCCCCTTAAAATTCCAGTCTTCTAGCTTCTCAAGTTCCCGAGTTAGCAGCTTGCTTGCCAAAAACATTGGCGGGCCCGTACGTGAGTACCACGCGGGTAGGAGCGCCCATTTTTGGCTGGAGCCCGTGCGTACATGTAGACTAAGTTCCCAAAGTTTCAGTCTTGTAGTTTATAGACCTCGCGATGGAAAATTGGTACAGATGCACACACAGAAACACACACATATACAACCTTCGACAACATGTGTTTTTCATTGCATAGATGCAAAAAACGCATAAAAACGGTTTTCCGGGATGAAACGCAGGATTCGCCGGGATGAACTGGATCAAAGAAGGTTACGCATAGCACCGATTATATATTTTATAACTCATTCTTCAAAAAATATCTTTCTTTTGCGACTCAAAAATGTCTTCGATCGTTGCTGTAAAACTAGTGACATCCCTGTGCCCCACAAACTGAGACTTTTATTTTCCATCGTATATTGTATGATGCTGCTTAGGTACTTCATTCGGTTTCACCTATTCTCTTCCCTTCGCCCTTCTTTTTGTAAGCCATCTAGCAGTAGCTCCTATAGTCCGTTGAAACTACAGCAAACAAGCAGTCTGACGGTGTTATCATAATCATCACAAATTAACCGTTAAAAAATTCGAGGAAATGATTGTTAGTAACAAACTACAGGAAGAATTTCCGCAAAAATCATACATCATGAAATTCATATTTTGCAAGACCGCTCCTGAACTCGATAACCAAGGATGAAAGGTGACAATGACCTGCCGATATGTGCAAGTAGCAGATTCGGAAGAACGAAACTGCTCTCCTGATTTTTATGCGTTTTTGCTATGTAGCGCTATAGCGCTGCTGCAGCAAGCGAAAAGTCATATCGTTGAGAGATTGTGTGTGTGTGTATGTGTGTGTGTGTGTATTTGTGTGTGTGTGTGTGTGCGTGTGTGTGTGTGTTCGGAAGCGAGTGAATTTTATCACCCACTTTCAAATCAGCAACCAGGAAAGCTGGAAGGGTGAAATTTTGGGAGCATATTCCCACCCTACGTGTCACCCTCCTGTTTTAAGATCTTCCACACACGCCTAGAAATTGCGTACGGAATCCCTAAAAAATATGCGTGTTTCTTTGGCTGGAAACGATTTTGGGAACTAGACAAGATAGAAAGCTGAATCTCTGCAAGGATATTCTATGTGCTTACATGAGTTAAAGATTTCAAATTCAGCCACTGAGCACGCTTGTACAAAGCGTACAATCACGTCAAGTCTGGTACTTGGCACTGTGCAAATTCGAAAACTAGCCGGAAAACAACGGCTGAAATTTTGTTAAAATATTTATCTTCCACATGGAAAATCGCATACTTAAGTCGAGTCCTGATTTGCACTTGCGCCACGACTTAGGGCATTTCGAAAATATTTGTCGCGAAGTGGTTATTTCGCTTACCGGCTAATATGTGATGTTGAGAATTCGCTGTGGTATTCTAGTTTCATGAGTGGTTTTAATTCCGCTTAGAGCTGAAATTCTCCGCAGATGGAGAAATACTCAACTTTACCGCAGTCTCAGAAATGAGTGTATTTTACAGCGAACGACCGCCCTCATCCTCTCCCAACATCCAGTTCATTTACATATTTGGATTTTTCGACGAATGACCGCTCCAGCAGCACTTCCAGTTTCAAGTGCCCATAAAGTTGAACAAAAATACATGATCGCACTGGCTAGTCTGATGCGTTTCAGCCTCTTACCGCTAAGTTTGTCGTTTTAATTCAATTACTTCGGCACTTCGGCATACTCAGTTTCCAATGAAGCCACCAGTCGAGGGCGGCTCTTTCTCTTACGCCTTGTGTCTATTCCCTTGAAAGTGATGCTTCATGGCGTTTTTAATTTCTAATTTTATTTGCATGCTTTTCAGCGGAAATCAACAATTCCCAATTAATTTACTGCGGTAGAAAGCCTCTACAAGGCAGTTTTGGACCCTCTCACTTTATTTTTTTGGTACTTGTGAAAACAAAAGTCATTTCCATTCTCCCCCTCCCTCTCCTTCCCAGAATAAAAAGATATGGATGAGCACTCCCTGCTGTCCCTTCCCCTCCCACTCCTTTTTAACAAGCTATGTTTCGACTTAGCCTGTCGCCAACCAGCAGCCTAATTAGTGTTTTTCATCAAAAGTTTTACCAATTCTTAAAAGTCTTTCGACTGTTTGCTCTTTCCTCCTCAGAATACCTCAATGTGTTCGTCATTTTGGCTGCAAAATATTTGGAAGTTTGTGATGCAGGCCATATTTCGGGACATGTATAGCCAGTATAAGATCATCGTGTGTGAGGCCAAAAAAAAAAGGATTAAGCAATGATTGATTGCGATAGTGCAAGCGAAAGTTTTTGCACTGGCAGAAACACTCATATCTATAATGAATAATTAGCTCGCGGCGATCTATTTCAAAGCACAACAAAATGGCTTTACCCTTTTGCTGGATACGGAGGAAAGCCGGTGCAGAGCCTGGCTGAATACGGCACTCACTGGTCGTCGACGTCGTTTGCTGGAGGCGGACGATCCGCCAGCAGCTGTCGGTGTTGTCGAATTTTCCTTGTTGTAATCCACGTCGATGCGAGATTTGCCGAAAAGTCGGTGGAGCAGTATCGAGGATGCAGTATGCTGCTTGCACTGCTCGGAGCCTGTACGCCGGCCAGATGTCGATGGGGCGTTTGGTACAGCGGTGGACCCGTAATGTTGCCTAGTGGCGATCACCGGGGTACTCAGTTGTGACGGGGTCAGTTTCAACAGGGGTGCTGCTGGGGACGGAGTCGTCTTGTGCGCTGGTGTCGAACACTGTGCTGCCCTAGATAGGGCCGCTGCTTGGAATGCATTACCGAGTACTGATTCGATCTCTTCTACCTAAAATACTCTTAAATGTAACTCTTTGCGAGTTTTACAGGCTGTTACATGTCCCCTCTCAAATCCTGGAATGTGCACCAAAATTTCTGGAGAGCCGTTAAGTAAGAATTTATTTTCATGCCCGTCCTGGCTCACTAATTCGCTTGAACATTTTGACAGTAATTAGCGTGTGAGCAATTTGTTCTTAACGTAAATCCTGAAAAGAAGACGCGAGGAAGCAGCAGTTGTTTTCGAATGGCGCCCATTAATCCTACAAAGAAAGATAAGTGGCCACGATTGTGACCGGTATGAGGTGCGTGCAAAAAGAAGCGCATAAGTGGATCAAATCAGTTCCGAATGAGCAGTCGAACAATGAACAGCTGCTTAGAACTGTACTTCCAATGGACGTTCTGGACAATTTATGACTTGCTGTGGAGATTCGGCATACAGTCAACTGTGCACATCATTTTCGCGCAACAATTCCGATCTGACTTTTACACGCCCCGCCCCTGACGCTCATGTTCAAGAAGAGTTATGAAGCATTTACTATACGGTTTTATTGTTCGTCGTTATCACTCCACGTGCCTGTTGTAAAAGCCTAAGAAAATCAATCCACACAAAGACACCCCAGTCGAATCAGAACGGAACATGTTAAAACCGATTAACGACACTGTTGAACAGCTCGGATTGATGAAGTTAGTGACCCAGAACATTGGTGAATAATGCCAGCTGCTGGAGTGAATGTGATTAGTGGACCGTAAGCTTTATTGTTGTATGACATTCCAAATACCTTCCTCTATTATCCCCCTACCCTTCAGTCGTGTACTTCCGATTGCATCTTTAAATACTCTGTAAGTGACGTACCCATTTAGCACACTGGTCAGTACCATTGAAATTCTGAAAACTGAACCCCTACTCCCACAGTGACTCGGAGTTCCACTGCTAATCTTCAAACTTCACTGCATTTCGATCTCAAGTATCTGGGAAATGAATTTACAAGCAAGCTCCACATTTTTGTTTAAGGCAACAACTTGTTTGTATCTTCAGATCTAGCTAGTTGAATAGAACATTTGCAAAGTCGATCGTGATCCGCATACTGGATACGGCATGAGGTTAAAAATAAGGATTGTAAATGGTGAAAACGGTTTTTCGAAAACTAGGGAGCTACACTGTGAATTTTTTACTCTTCAGTCACTTCTTACCTTGAGAATGCCAAAAAGAAGTAAACGATTCATTACGCAAACAACCGTTCCGAGCTGAATAAGCTTTTAAAACAAGCTGAAGGTAGTTTTGACTCCCTGGTATACATATGCGGATCCGATGGAGAGAAGAGGGCGGAAGCGAAGGGCCTTTCGATCCCCCTCCCTTCCTCCTCCCTTCGCCCCAGCCGCCATCTCCCC